GTAATAAAAGAGCAAAATATGCTGAAAATGCTGCTTTTGATCTTCCATATTTGATGGGACACAAAAAATAAACAATTGCACAAAATCAAACAAAATTTTTTACAAATAAGCTTTAAAATGCTAGCTGTCAAAATATATAATAATAATATGGTTAAGAATGAAAATGGCGGGAAAAATATGACTAATTCGTCTAGTGGTAAAAAAAACAACTTACTTTCCAAACAACCCAATAGAACAATTTCAATAACATTTATTTTAATTATATATTTGCAATTTATAAATAAAATATTAAATGAAATTATTAAATGGAAAATCTTTTATAATGATTTATAATAATTTAATTATTTTTAAAGTAAATAAAAAACAAATCTTAAAATGCCATATTTCTAATAACTGAAAAAAATTTATAGCAACATTTGAAAAGTTAATCAATTCAGCTATATAAATGCAAATTATTATTATATATTGAACTGTTTAATAATAAAGATACTAAAAATATTTGATACTCCTGTCTTTTTTCACTGAACATGACCAATCCTAGAAAGCTGTGTTTGTTCATAAAAAAAAAAAAATGAGCAAAAATCTCAAACACAATGAAATTGGTGGTAAAAGGAGGTGCCATTGTAAAATAATACTAAATACCACACTTGCAATATTTATTTCCTTTGATTAGCTAATTTATTTTAGCATTTCTTAGTTGAAGTGATTGTTTCAAAATTACTAATATAAAAAACCATACAAAAGTCCAGCAAAATTCTTTAATAACATAAGAACGTTTTCAAACGCATTAATGTATTTGAAAACATTCTTATGTTATTAAAGAATTTTGCTGGACTTTTGAATGGTTTTTTTATATTATTAATTTTTAGTCTCCAGTAAGCAAGTATATATTTATTGTTTCAAAAAGCTAAGCTTCATGGAAAAACTAATATCTTTATTAAAATCTTTGTTTTTATGAAATGAAGTTATTATTTACAATACTAATATTACACTTTGACTGGATTATTTATTTTTACTTTTAACAATATTTAGAAGTGGAAATTTTTCATTCTCACTATGTTGAGAATTTTGATGAGAAAGTCTGAAATTCCAATAATTCAGGAATACAACCTGAACAAGTTAAACAACAATTTTTTAAAAATCTCTTCACTGTTCCTTTTGTCTCAAGTATAATATTCTGAAAAAATATGTTTTTTCCATTACATATTATATGATTTGGAAAAAGATTTTCCAAATTGTGGTTCAACATAAATTGTAGTTCAAGAAATGTTTATTCTAAAACTTCAATGTTTATTACTTTTAATATAAGACTTCAAATAACTCAGTTTAACTCAGTTGATCAACATATATTATACTATTTTTATTATCATCAATGTGGTGGAGTCAGTAAATGAAAATTCCAACAAATTTGCAATGTGCAACTCCAACTTTGACTTTACCCTTTTCTAAATGTCACACTATGATTCCTTTTATGAGAAAGATAACACTGAGTATCCAAATATTTTTATATAAAATTTTTGTATAAAAAGTCGTACTAAAATTGATGGTGAGAATCAAAAAATGGAATTTACCTTGGAAAAACTTTTGAGTACATAAAGAAACAACTACATCTTAATAGCCAAAATATTCCACTTTTAGTTAGCTGATTATGAAAAATTGATTTAAACTTAATTATTTAAAAAGAAAAATACAATAAGACCAAAAATAGCAATTTGATGAATGATATAATAAATTGGTCTGTAAAATAGTTTCATCCGCTCAGACTACTATGAGAATAGTTAATTTCCTATTGATGGTTGACCAAACTGAAGTATAGAATAAAATTTTAAAATATGAAATTTGAAAAATAATCAATCATCTTGAACCAATGGGTGAAATCATGCTCTGAGAGCTTAAACCGGTGAAAAATAAGCTGAAACAATCCTATTACCATATATCTGCACAGATAATACAATAGTTGAACCTCCAAAAAAAGACCTCCATAAAAGAACTCTAAAAACTGGGGTCATCTTATAGGACAGATACAAAAAAATTACATTGAAATTTATATAAATTAAAATTATTATAAAAAAACGGAAAAACTGTAATTATTTACTAGTAGAGTGTAGGGTATATCCACAAAATAGAATAGCCCATATGACATTTATGTGAATAGTCAAGCTCGAATGCCCAAATCAGTGTGAATGTTTGCAACAATCGCAAGGCAGTGATACCAGATGCAAGAAAGTAAAATTTGAAATTCTTTCAAAAAATTACAAATAGAACATAATTCCATATATGCTATACAGTGTTATTATCCAGATGATGATCGCTGATCTATTTCAAATTGTGAAGATCATTTCCCCCTTCAAAAAATATCTCTATATATGCATTTGTGAACTGTTATTTACGATATTTGTAATAATTTTTGTTTAATCACTTTATTTCAACTTTCTTTTTTGCTAATTATGTATTCGCTCAAACTTCGTTAAAACCTCAACTGTACCCCGAACAACAACCAAAGTTGTAAGAGGAAATTCGCATATTTTACCAATCTAGGTATCCCCCATTTTCCAAATTTTAATATCGACTCAAAATAATAATGTAATAATAATAAGTTTTAATAAAAATTATAAAATTTAAATTGAATTTTGTCGTAACGAGTTTGCTTAAATTTCCTTTCTTCTGAGACCGCAGCAATGCGCGATGGGTAAGCTAGTTATGTTATAAAAACATATAAATAGTCATAAATAACTCAAAATAGAAGAGTAGTGAAAAAATTAGTCAACTTAGTCAAGAAACAAATTGATATCCAAGTAAAACATCCAAGATATAAAAAATTTTGCACCCAAAATGAAAGTCAAATTTTTTCTTGGGATTTTCTCTTTGGTAAAGATAAGCTTGATGAATTTGAAGTGATGACATAAGCCTTTACTTTCCTGGCTGTTATGTATACATAACAAGGAAATATATTGGAATAGTGTCAAATTTGTCCATCCAAGTTTTTTGCAAATCTCCATGTTTTGAGTTCTAAATCAAAAAAGTCAAAAAAAGAAAAAATCCATGGATATGTATGTATGCATGCATGCATGCACATACATGTGTTGTGTGTTTGTGTGTGAGCATGCATTTCCTTTAATATCTTGAGATGAGGTAATGATTAAGAAACAGTTTGGCATGGTAGCTTTATATAAGGGACATTGATGCTATTAAATTATGATGGTTAAAGGTCAAGAGGGTAGTGAGATAGAGAGTAATGTCTTAACTCAAGAGGGATCAGACTTAAGACTTTACTCATTATTAGCATTTACAACTTTTTTATAAAATCCTTCTGTACCCTCAAAATTAAGCTTTTTTCCATTTTATAATAATTAATTATATTAAAAAAATTTTAAATAAAATATCATAACTGGTGATGCCAAATGCAATTTTAAATTGTTTTGCTGAGAAAGTTACATAACTCATTGGTGGCTTAAAAGCCACCGATGAGTTATGTAACTTTCTCAAGTGAACAAGAAGTCTTTGCACTTCTTGTTCTTGCTTTAGTAACATGAAGCTTTTGAGAATAAATTTCATTAATATTCTTTGTTTTCCTCATGCATTTCTCATGACTAGGCAACTGAGCAATAGCATTCCATAAAGGATCTGGAATTGAATTCCAGTCAAAGCTGCTGTAAAAAATTTTACTCTGCATGTAAAATTTTTCAGCATGGAATGTAACAATGTAAAATCCAGCAGTGCATCATTTTTCATCCTAAAGTTATGCTGCAGATTTGATCCCTAAACACTGGCAGTCAGCTTGGGTTTGTGCTTGGGTTGACAGACTGGCTAGTAGTTTTCCAGATTTTCTTTGTGTTGATAGGGCCTGAATAGGGGCCCTTAAAAGAAAAGCACATTCCCCAATTGGCAGATTGCCCTCATCTTGCATAGCCAGTATCTAACACTAATCAATGAATGCATTCAGGCATTGAAAAAAATCATTTGCTTTTTTGAGTGAATCATATACTACTTAGTTTCAATTTTTTTTGCATAGCATATGAGATACTCAAAAAGTAATAATAAAGTCAGTCAAGTATTGCACAATGTTTGGTAATTCTTTGTTGGGTAATAACAAAAACATAATGAGCACAGCATATATTATATACAGGGTAGAGATCTCTAGACAATGTGAATATATTCATTTAAAGTAATAAGTTTGATTTTTTTGGTTACTAGCAATGCATCACATGAGTAATCTTTCTAGCAGGGATGCCTCCCAGGGAAACTTTTATGGAAAACTGGCTCCTTAGATATTACTAACCTAAAGAAAACTCCACATGGCCAGCCTGAAGGCAGGCACAATCCCACAACTAACTACCAGTGTTCAGTGGTTTCATCCACTCAGCCACTGGTAAACCTTAAATTAATAAAAGTTATTTTCTGAAAGTATAAAGCATGTTGCATGAGATTCACATAACATTTTGCTATGAAATGGCCTTTATGGGTTAATATCATTTTGATATCTAAATTTATTGAAGTGTCTGTTTTCTAAGAAATTTCTTTAAATACTAATTAATTAAAAAGTATTTTTCTTACTTCACATTTTACCAATAGTAAACTTTGAAGTTGGAGTTGCAGGAGTCAAAAAAATTTTGCCAACTCAAAAACATCCAACTCCACAACACTGGTTGTTATTCTAAAAATATCTAATTCTTCAATTTTAAATTCATTCTGAAATTTTATTTGTGATTATGTATGTTAATTTTAAACTTAAACAAAAAAGGATACCATTTAACTCCCAATTTCCTGTATCAAGATTTTCTCTGATTTGCTGTATTTCATTATGCAAACCCGGTTGTTGAAATAAATCTTCCTATTAAAAATATATGATCAATACGCATAAATGTTTTAATAAACATATTTTTCAAAAAGTTTACCTGATTCATGCCTTTTGAATATAAATGATCAACTAATAGCCATATTTCCTTTGGAATTTCAAATGGTATGTCCATACAACTATTAGTTGGTGTAGTAGATGTTTCCTAATATAAAACAAACAAAAAAATGAAAATTTAATCATTAAATTTATGTTAGTAAAATATTATTTAAATATTTATATATCTTGTAAATTCCAAACTATATTCTCAAACAATTATATGAACAGAACTTTTGGGAATTTTCAATTAAATTTTTTTTAATTTAAAAATTTTATTCATATTTTGCAATTTTTTTTAATGTTAAAAATGGTTTCCTTTTGTAAGGATAGTTGTTTAATGTCCCTTGTAATTTCTTTTATTTTAACTTATTTTTTACTTAAGATGTGAGGTGTACAATGGCACCAAGGGACATCTAGAAAAGGGAAACACTGCTGTGCTCCCAATTCCCTTCCAATATAGATGACTAAAGCATTGGAAAAATCAGGATGATTCAGGAAAGGGGATTTTTAATTTACAATTTTAAGACTAAATTTTATTTACACAAATTAAGAACAGAAAAATGATAAAATTAACATAAAAGTTTTAAAATAACTATGACAAAACTGGAGAAGAAAGCAGACAAAAGCAGCAGCACACATTGCGTAACTCCTGCAAATATTTATTTGACCAAAACATTTTCATACAATTCAAATACAACAGATAATCTGCAGTATTTGAATTGCATAAATGTTCTATTGGTTTAGAACATTCTTCAAATTCACTTAAATTATTTTCCATTGCATTTTAAATGTATTTAGAATGTTCATTTAAGGTTTGGTATTCCAACTAAAGAAGGTGTATAGTAATAGACTGAAAACATTTATGACCAAATAAATACTTTGCTGTATTTATACAAGGTGTGCTGCTTCTTTCATAAAAATAATTTTAAATTCTACAGATGCTATTATGACAAAAAATAAACTCACAATGCATGCAAAAGAAAAGAAACTTCAAAATTGCACTAGTAACCAAAGCCAAATAATCTTGTCTGAGACAAAATACATTTCAGTTACTAGAGAGAGAGAGAGAGAGAGAGAGAGAATGATCTTCACCTTCAGATGTAGATGGCTACGATGGGCAAAAGATGAGTGGGACCAACAAAAAAAAGCTCTGATGTAGTTTTTAAAGAGAGCTAATGACCAATAGAAACTAGGCTGGGGCATCTCAACAAATGGACCTATTTTCAATCCAACTGTTTCTAAAATCCTGAAGTCTTAATCTAGACATTTTCATGTTTTATTGATACTAATCTGAGTAACTGTCAGAAAAATTCCAAGTGGTAGGTAAATTTACCATAGGATGTTTTTGTCATTTTTCATTAAGACAGAGCCATTCAATTGACAAATATGTTGTATTTTCTTTCTCTTTTCCTTATAAAAGTTTATCATCACATGTGCGCATACATCATAAACTGGAGCAGTTTCATTTTCCACATTCTTGAAATAAAATGTAGGCAGTTAACTAAAATTAACAAGATCTAACAAACAACAAATGCTTGAAATTCAATTAAATAAAAAATAAGAATTTCCAGTACTTATACATAATTATTGTAAACAAACTTATACTGCAACATCATATTGCAATGCATGACTATAAAAAAATACCTCTCCTGCAACAACATTTTCTGTTCTCTAAAAGTTCCTTTGTTCTATCTGTATTGTGATACTATTAAACTGATTTTCCATGAAACATTATAAAAAAAGCATTCAGTGATTTGGAAAAATGTAATAACAATACAAGCAAAATTTAACTTATTAAAAATTTATATAAGCAATTAAATTCAAATATTTGTTAATTTTTTAAATTATTTTTCTCATTAAAGAAGAGAAATTTAATTAGGTAATTATATAAGATTAAAAACAATAATGTTTTAATAATTTTATACAAAATTTAAATTTTTATTAAAAAAAATTACATTTGAAAAGTTACCCTCTGAAAACATCTTATATGAAGATATAATTATAATAAATAAATCACAATTACCATAATTTCCTACACATAACCCATGGCAGCATATAATCTAAAGAAATTGCTAGAACAAACATGAAACCTTCACATACTCTCACCTTTGGGGCAACATTGAAAGCAGCAGTTAGAAGGTATCCTACAAGATAATTTACATTCATAAAATGTTTCGTATTTTTTATTTTTTTTTAATTTGTTTTTTTTTTGTAATTTTTATTGCAGTTGTATTTTTATATCTGTTATTCAGGGAGATGAAATCCTATGAATTACAACAGTGAATAAATATATGTGTGACTAAAAGTAATGTTGATGACTTTAGATGAAGGAAAAGCTGCTGGATAAGTTCATAATTGCAATTTAAAAGTGGCATATTATCCATATCCATTTAAACAGATATCTTATGGGTTATCTGCACAAAATTATGATACTTAAGTTATTTGAAACATTTGCCAAGAACACTTACCAAATTTATCAAAACATCCATAGATATATCTCTAATTGGTGCATGCATCCGAACAAGTGCTTCAAGAGAAGAACCAAATGAACTTGGAACATAAGAACCAGTCACAGTAATGTAAAAAATAGTTAAGAATTTATAATTAGAAAGATATATATTATTAATATTTGATTTGAATGGAAGATGATGATGATGATGATGATGATAACAACAATAACAATAATAATAATCACACAAACACACATGCTTGCAAACAAATAAAGTATTTTTTTAAATTATATACAGTCAAATCCCTCTATAGCTATATTTAGTGGAACAAGAAGAAACACTATTGTAAATATATTTATTGTTTTAGTGAGAGTTTTTAAAAAATTCTCCCCTCCTCATTTAATACTAAGACTATAAATACAGTTATTTCTACAAAGTTAGACAATATTATAAGAGAAAAACATAGCATTATTAGCTTATTAGTCTTCTCTAGTACAAGATTTAAATCAGGGGTGTCCAACCCGCGGCCCGCGGGCCGCATGCGGCCCAAGGCAAGTTCCAATGCGGCCCAATAAACGTGTAAACAAAACCTACAAATGTTTTAATTTTTTATTATTTATTTATTTCAATAGCATAAACTCAAAAAAAAGTTTCACAAAGCCGTAAACCTTTATTCATATTTTATTTTTGAGTGGAAAGAAAATATTTCAAATACTTGGAGATGTGTGAATGCGGAAGGATTACTAAATAAAGCTGGAGTTGTGTCTCAAAGAATTATATACCCAAATTTGGGAAAAGGAGGGAAAGATGAGAAAGGACAAAAGATGTAGTAGTGAGAAAGGTTAAATAGATCTTCTGTTAAGCAAATATGGACCCATAATTTTTCAACCTTTTTCACTTCTTTATCTTTTGTTTTTTGCCTCTTTTTTCCGCACTTGGGTCTATAATCCTTTGATTCACAGCTCCAGCTTTATTTAGTATTTCTTCCAACGTTGCGAGATTTGGCTACATTGGGCCAAATGTGGCTACTTTTTTTGGTTTGACGTAAAAAATATCATTTGGCGCTTTGGCTACTTTTTCGGTTACATATTATTTATAATTATATAAATTGAATAAAAATGCACTTCAAAATGGTGGTTCGTCGTTTTTATTAATTAGAGACACAAATAAAACAAATATTTGTGTTTTTCAAATAAATTTTCGTTTGTTTCTTTTACAATAAATGAATTTATCTATTTCTAAGTAAAAATTGAAAGTGTCTGTAGAAGTAATTTTTTAACATATTTTTTTTCTTGATAAAGTTATAATATTTATTATTATTATCTACACATGTTAGTCCTTAAATATACTTGTATATTCGGCCACAAGTATATATTATATATACTTGTGGCCGAATATTTAAGGAAATTACAAGTATATATTATATATACTTGTGGCCCAAAACTCCTTGACTTCTGCCAATGCGGCCCAGAGAAACAAAAAGGTTGGACACCCCTGATTTAAATGGTTTTATTGCATATAACTTATACAGTAATTATTTCTATATTATTATTATTTCATATGTTAAAAATCAAAATCTAAAATCAGCCAAAACCTGAATCTTCCTAGACAAAAATGAACTAAGTACTGTAAAACAAACTAAAAAAGTAAAACTGAACTAATTCTAAATTCAAAAGTAAAACTAATTCTAAAATATAATTTCTTAAAATAGTTACAAAAAGAAATTTGCAACAATAAGACATTCCTTTGCACTTTCTAAGAGAACATTATTATGTTAAATGAGTTTAATGTCAAAGTTCCTACAGGGATGTCTTAGTATTGCAAATTACTCTAACTTTAAAAGAAAAAGCAGCTTTCTTACAATTACCTAGGAAGACTGTATTGTAACATAGAACTAATGTAAGATTTACAATTTTCAATTACAAATTACAATTAAATTCAAAATTTCTTGAAAAAACTGGAAATGATAAATTCAAGCAAGAAAAGAAACAATACTAAACTGCTTTGAAAAGTTAAAACTGGTTTCCTTGTCATTTAGTATTAAATGTTATCAAAAAATTTTGCTCAAAAGCTAACATTTCTGCTAAACAAAACAAAACACAATGATATATTTTAAGTGCTAAACTAAAGATTTAGACACTAAATATGGCAACTCTGTTCTCATCTGTGTTGATGCCTATTGCCTGCATATAATGATCATGGCAGAATTGATGTATTAAGCAAGTACCACATTTTGATTCCAATAAATGATAAATTAAAATTTAATTTATTGCATTGTCATCATTGAAGAGAAAGAAAAATACTGTATATTTTACACACACAGTAAAAAAAAAACCATTGTTAAAGAGAGATTTGTTGCAATGGAGGATATCATTCAATGAAGAGGGTTTTACATAAAACTAATACTAATTGCATAGGGACTAGTGTTGCAACGAATAGTATATTCGGCCTGAGGCCGAATACCGAATAGCCAAATACTCGGCCAAATTATTCAGCTTGATTAACACATGTATGAAAATTGGCTCGCAAACCACATTATGGCAAGGACCCTGCTATCTATTGGCCTGCTGTCACTACACTTTGCCAATTGCATTAATTCTTGACAGTTGTAGTGGACAGACAAGAGCGTCATGGCAGTGATAATTGAGATACCAAATGTGGATAACAACGAAATGACCTACACATGTAAATAACAGAAAAAGAACAGAGAAGGACCACCAAGTGAAAATGTGAAAATAAATATGAAATTGAGTTGATAACATAATCAAACAAGTCAAGGCAGCTTATTGGCTCAAAATTCACGGCCGTCAGTGCCAAGCAATTGTTGTCATAGACTTCGGAAAGCTAAATGCTTGTAATGAAAGTCACTTAGCATGCACGGGTGAAAGCCTGGGGCTGTTCGGGCTACCAAGCTGTCTCAAATTTGTGAAATCATAACTGTGACTTATATCTGTCTCTTTTCTCCATTATCACCAGGCTATGAGTCAAGTAATTGTAAAATAGGAAATCTATGACGGAAAAGTGACGAATCGAAAGTATCATAAGCGCGTATTATCATGTATGCATAGACATAAGTGGACTAGAGCAATAGAGGAAAGAGAAAGGGAAGATCAAAGACGAGCACTTAAAAAGAAGGATAGACAGGGTCAGACCCTCAGATGTGCGACGATTCTCGAACAAATAGGTGTGTATGTGTGCTGATCTTCATAATTATAAATTGTGAATATATGTGACTAATATTATTTTATTTCTTATTTTGCATGTTATACGTTATAAATAAATATAAACAAACAACACTAACCTGATAACATTAAATCTAAATACCAAAATGATTAATTTACTGTGCTTTTGTTATTTCTTACTTCTGTTTTTAGGTATTCGGTATTCAGCTGAATAGTGATTAAATATTCGGTATTTGGCTGAATAGCGAAAAATAGGCCAAATACCGAATAGTAACCAAATATTCGTTACATCACTAATAGGGACCTATATTTCTTATTGTTTCAGAAAGATTTTCATTATATTAATAATTGCTGTACTGAGATACAAGATGATAATAAATTTCCCAAGAAATATCAGTTATATTTTTGACATATTGATCTTTGAAAATTATATTTTTATTCAATACCCTATTTCTAAGTTTGCAAACTATATTAAATTTTAACAAGTAATTTCAATCCAATAGTAAAAATAAAATACAAATAATGTGTAAATTCTGAGCTTGGAAAATATTAATCAAAGTTTACTGTGATAAAAATATTTCTATGCAAAATATATCAACAAAAATAATCTAATGCATGTATAAAACTTAAATCATCAATCCACATATATAAATATAAACATTCTACTTTTAATATGTTTAGAATACATTTTTAATAAATATTTGAAGTACTTTTAGTAATTATTTAAATCATATTTTTAATTTACTCAAATTCTAGAACTTTCTCTTCTTCTAAGGCTATACAAATATTTTCTAGGAAACAGTAGACTTTGCAGTAAACCAGTGGTGCACAAACTATTTTCATTTCCGACCCCCCCATTTTGTGTAAAATTTTGTTGCAACCCCTGGGGACCTATTCTGAGTTGTGGTGATATCAGACCCTCTCACCCTCCCTCTCTGGCGGTCTTGTCAGAGCATGTAGTGATATTGGACCTTCTCGTCCTCCCTCTCTGGGGGTTTCATCGGGGCAGATGCAATCCATCCATTAACACATGCTAATGAGGGCCCGTTAAGACCGGGGAAGAAAATGTGGGAAGAAGAAATTTTTGAGAGAGGAATTCGGGACACAAGAGGGAGAGGGAGTGTGAAGTAGCGGTCCCTGAGAGTGAAATAAAGTTTTTTTTGTGGAAATATTGGACTAATTAATTGGTGAGATGAACCGATGGGACGGAATCCGCTGATTAAGAACAGGTTCCCTATATGAGTTGTATCATTAGCTAACAAATATGATAAAAACCAGTTTCTATTGGAACCATGTGATTAGCGTTTAATCAACTATGAAAATGCTATTTTGAGCCGTATGTTTTGTTTTCGGTTCTGATAGCCACATGCAATAACTAAGCTTTTCTTGTCAATCATTCTCTAGGTATCATTAGGAATGTAATAAAAGTAAAAAGAACATGGCAACTTTAGGTGTAAGGATGATGTTACTTCACCAGCAATTGGAGAGAGAGAAGATTACGGCCTTGAGTTTGAAGGGAGCTCAAAATTTTCTACAAAAAAGAAAATCGAATTTTGATATAATTTTTCTTTTTTTTTACAAATCAACAAACTATACTTTACTTTTTATTTTTTGTAGTATTTAATTACATTAATAACCTATATTGTTCATATTACATTTCTAGTGATTTCTTCTTTTTACTATAAAATTCATTTGATTTTTATAGGTAGCTTTTCTTAGTTTTTAGTAGCTTTCTTTGCCATCAAAAAATGACAAACAAAATTTTTAGTGTTTTCCTCTTTAAATTGTACCTTATTTTATAATATGTTGCAAATACTTTTTAACTACAAAACAATTATTATTAAAATTAATATGTTTATGTTAATTCTCTTTTTTATATGATTG